AGGATGGGTGCATTAGAAAACAGAGCTTTGAGTTTCTTAAAGGCAGCCTCAGCCTCCGCAGACCAGTGAAAAGTTTTTTTGACGGAAGTTAATGCAGTCAGAGTCAGCTGAGCTGTCTGGCTGTAATTGTGAATAAACCTCCGATAAAAATTTGCAAACCCCAGAAATCTTTGTAGTTGTCTTCGGTTCTCGGGAGTGGGCCAGTCCAGAACCGCCTTGATCTTATCCTCTGACGGCTTCACCTGCCCGCCCTCGAGCACAAATCCTAGGAAGGTGACAGATGGACAATGAAACTCACATTTTTCTGCTTTAACAAACAGTTTGCTTTCAAGAAGTCTTTGTAGAACCAGACGGACATGCTTCTTCTGTTCAGAAATGTTCTTGGAGTAGATCAGAATGTCATCAATATAGACAAAAACAAATATATTCAAAAAATCTCTCAAAACATCGTTTACCAGGGCCTGAAAACAAGCTGGGGCGTTGGTCAGACCAAAAGGCATTACCAGATACTCAAACTGACTTAGTGGAGTCTTGAATGCAGTTTTCCATTCATCTCCATCTCTGATTCTGAGGAGGTGATAGGCGTTTCTCAAATCCAACTTAGTGAACACAGTTGCTCCATGGACGGGTTCAAAGGCTGAAGCTAACAGGGGTAACAGGTATTTTTTCTTGACAATAATTTGGTTTAATACTCTGTAATCGATACAGGGTCGCAGAGATCCATCTTTTTTGCCAACAAAGAAGAAACCGGCCCCGAGAGGAGATGAGGACGGTCGGATTATACCGGCGGCTAAGGACTCATTAATATAGTTCTCCATAGTCTCCCTCTGGGGTTTGGAGATATTATAGAGCCCACTGTTAGGGAGGGGGGCCCCCAGGAGAAGATCGATTGCACAGTCGTAAGGTCGATGCGGGGGGAGAGAAAGTGCACTAACCTTACTGAATACTGGTGCCAGGTCATGGTAGTCAGGAGGTATTATGGAAAGATCTGGTGGGTCAGGCTCCTGAACACTGGGTGGAGACTGAGTCGAAGGTGCGGCGGAGCGGAGACAGGTACAATGGCAGGATGCAGACCAGGACTCTACATGTCTTTTTGACCAGTTAATGTAGGAGTTATGGTGTTGAAGCCACTCAAATCCAAGGACAATGGATGAGCTAGCTGATGGAAATACAAAAAAAGGAATAGTCTCTCTATGGTTACCAGAGATCAGAAGTTCTAGCGGCTTGGTTTGGTGCGTGACCTGAGGTAATTGTTTACCGTCAAGGGCCGAAACTCTCAGGGGCTTAGTTAATGGGGTGGTTTCAATGTTTAATTGTTTGACCAAACTGGAGTATATCAGATTCTTCTCACAGCCTGAGTCTATCAATGCTGATAAAGTGAGGGATTGACTTTTTAAGAACAGAGTTGCAGGTAACAGAAGACAAGGAGATTTCTCAGTTTGGAGATGGTCCGCCAGACTCCTCATTTCCTCTGGTGGACCCCGGCTTTTACCTTAGCTGGGCAGGTTGAAACAAAGTGTCCAGGTTCTCCACAGTACATACATAGGTTCTCTTTAAACCTTCTTTGCCTCTCTTCGGATGAGAGCCTGGTGTGGCCGCTCTGCATTGGCTCAACTTCTGAGGGTACTGTGTGAGGAGAGACGTAGTGAGTCTTAGTAGCAGGGACAGAAACAGGAAGATAACGGCCTTTAGATCTGGACTCAACTTCTGAGGGAACTGAGGAAGAAGAGACGTCACTAGTCTTAGCAGCAGGAGCAGAAACAGAAAAGACATGGCCTCTAGATCTGGACTTGGGTCTGGCTCGCAGTCTGTTATCTAAACGGATTGTTAACTTTATTAGTTCTTCCAAAGTTGTAGGTTCATCGAGAGTGGCCAGCTCGTCCTTAATAGAATCATCAAGGGCATGGATATAAGCGCTTTTGAGCGCCGATTCGTTCCAACTGGAAGCAGCCGCTTTAACCCGGAAGTCGATAGAGAATTCAGCCACTGTTCTATTACCTTGCTTGAATTCCAACAGTCCGAGAGATTCAGTGGACGTATCTTTGTCTTGATTGAACACTTGTTTGAATTCCTGAATGAATTCCACAAAAGTACAACCAAAACTAGTTTTCAAAGAAAATATAGCTTCTGCCCATTCTAAGGCTTTTCCGGACAATTGTGACAAAATAAAGGTGATCTTTCTCTTGTCATTAGCAAAACTAATTGGTGGAGAATATTCAAAAATGAGCTGACACTGGAACAAAAAAAAAAAATCCCTTACTTGGATCGCCGAAAATTTTTTCAGGAAGTGAAGGGCGGAATTCAGAAAACGACGGGCTGGGTTCAGACCTGAGTGGTGGATTAGTATCTTGCACCGGAAGTTGAACAGTCTCCGTTCCAGGTGTAGAGTTGTGGAGATGACTGGCTATTTCCTGTAAGGAGTGATTAATTTCTGCTTGACGTGTATTTAACTCACGGAGGGCGGTGTCGTGGCTCTGAATGAGGGTTTGTTGCTGCTCCAACATCCTCCGTAGTGATTCCACGGGGCTAGTCTGTAGGCCAGAGTGTTCTGTCATGTTCGGATTAATGTGTCTAACCCACATGCAGAACTTTTGGAGGCAGATGAAAAAGTTCAAAGATTTATTAATAATAAATGTACAAAGTATGTTCAGATCCAAGAGGGGGCTTGACTGGTCACGAGTGTTGGGATCTGGAGATCTGCCACCTTTCTCCAGCAGAGAGCGCCCTGGGTCTCTTGAGCTGAAGCCACCTGCACACCTGAGGCTGATTCATCTCATCAAGAGACCAGCTACTTAAGCAGCGGCTTGACTTCTCTTCAGCGCCAGAGTGTTGACCAGTTTTGGTTAGCAGAACCTGAGCCTCAGCCTGACCATAGAATCTCTGTCTGCTCTGGAGAGTAACCCTGATTCTAATCTGCCTCTGTCTTCTCTGCCTCATAGGAAACCTGATCGAAGTCTGTAGCTCTGGAGGAGCTCATGTTTGGAAACCTGCCTGCCTGCCCTGAGAAGCCAAACCTGAAGATCCTCAGTCTGAATCTCCTCGCTTGTTCTCAGGATAGAACTTGGAGTACAACTCAAGGTCTAAACCTCGCTAGCCTGAAGATAAGTTCTGCTGCTGCTAAGCTCTCTGCTGAACCCACAGTCTCTGGACCCAACCGGTTCCCTCTCTCCACCGATCAGTCTGAACCTCATCAGGTACAACCCAGAAATAAACTCTGCCAAGACATCATTGCTACCTGGCTAACCAAACAATCCCTCTCTGCAGATAACTCTGTGAATCCAGTCCCGGGCCTGAACCAGAACCTGTGCAAACAATTTACTCTGTGTGTGTTTATCCAAAATAAACTGTTGAACTTTTACTCAGTCTCCTGTGGTGTTCTGCATGTGGGTTTGATCACAGAGACCCATCATGACAACGAGTGGGTTCACTGCTGAGGAGGACAGAGAGATTAGTGGAGGTCCAGGTCTTTTGCAGGTTGTGAGTGTTCAGGTCTGTACCTGTTCGGAAATGGAGCAGAGCGGCAGGGGGGGGAACCAAGAGGGTCCAGAGGTTGTTGGCAGGCTGAGGGCAGAGGCGGAGGCAGAGCTTACTGAGTGCAGGCAGATCACAGATTGAGTTCTCCTTCCAGTAATCTTCTGAGAGCGGGCAGGCAGAAACTTGACTGAGGCTGCTCTCCAGAGTCCTACTGAGAACAAGCAGACACATCACCGGCAGAGAAACTCTCCAGAGTTTCAGGTATTCAGGCAGGATCAACCTGGGAGGCAGAGAGGAGAAAAACGGGATCAGGTTTGATTTGCAGAAAGTCAGAGTTCACAGACAGGCAGGTTTGCTCAGGCTTGCTAACCGTTACTGGCAAACACTCTGGCACTGGAGTGAAGCCCTCCGCCTCCTTAAGTACATATCTCCTGATGAGGAGATGAGAGACAGGTGGTGCAGTCGGATCATGCTCCAGGAGATCTTGTGCACCCTCTGGTGGAGAAAGTGGACAAACCTCCAGATCCCAACAGTTTGTAGTGTAGATTTTTCTTTGAGTAATTATCTACAATTTTCTCCATCATTTTCTACACAATAGAGGTATTTTAGTTATATGTGTCTACCAGATTTGAGGCGGTAATGACCCTGTTTTCAATTCTAAGCAAACTGAGATTTTACCTTTTCCTGATAGGCTTCAGAGATCTAGATTCCACTGGTTCTTCAACAAAACCACAGTTGTATGCACACAGTAGATGGCATTATTAGGTGCTGTAAAGAACATTGTGCTAAATATGCTCTCACACACAGCAGCATGGTTACAAGACTGTACTTTTTGAGTAAGTGTAAGTCTGTCAATGTTTGCTGAAAAATGCTTCATATCTTTTTTGAGTCTTTATAAATTAAGAAAGGCCGGTTTCCTTTATCTGTTGGGTAGTATTATCAGAGGCAGAGATGTAAAAATTTCAACAAAGTGACAAAATGCTGGTTCTGTTCTGTTGACTGCTCTGGAATCACAGGGAATAATTTTGCAAAAAAGGGACCTAGAGACACATGCAGACCACACTTTTAAAGCTTTCATTAGTTTAGAAAAGTTGTTAAATTAATGAGTGAACTGTTAAAACTAATGCTTTATTTGTGGTCTCCTGCAGAGCCATGTGTTTGTGTAATTGTTGACATAGCACAGGGGAGCCAGCAGCTCTGAAAAAGATTCTGCATGTGCTTAGGATTATGGGCTTCAAGATGGTTAAAATGTTAGCTCTCCAACTACAAAGTGCTGTAGTGCAAGCAGACAGAACAAAAAACAAGGCTGCTGGATAGGTGTTGAAATGTTTTCAGAGAAAATTAGCAAAAGTCTGCTTGCCACTCATTTAAGCCTGTTTTGTGGTTATAGTACCCTCTTCTCTCTCATATAAATCATTGTGAAACTCATAATCGACAAAGGTGCACACACCTTCTTTTATTGCTTAGAAAAGAAACTGTTAGTTATTCAAGGACTTTAACCTACCAGGTCATATTACCGTTGTCTACTTTCAACCTTGTCTGATCGTAAATTTACCTCCGCAGATTGGGTATGTACTAAAATCTTCTAATTTCCTTCATTTTTAAGAATTTTCTTAATATCACTAAATATTTTTTGGTTGCTCATAATGTGTGAAAGGATATTGTGTGAAAGGCACATGTAGTCATAAAGTGTGTACATTTGACGATTTGCATTGATAGATTTTAATAGTGTAATAGTTTAATAGTCTCTCTTGGTAGATACAATTTCATAAGAGCAAGAACATTTATTGATAAATGTCCCTTTTAACGCATTTTCCTTTCCGCAGATTTTTAAAAGATCAAAGATTTTAAAATCTCTTAAGCAAATGTCAATATTTGTTCTTTGCCTTAGTATCAGATTTCATTATTCAGGTTCTGGTGGTATAGCAATACCTAGTATGGATTTGTCCGAATAAAAGTAAAGTTTTATGTCCATTAAACTGCCCATTGTTATTTACATGCTATGTTGTTGTATTTCACATGTCTTTATTTGAAAAAAAAAACTGGTTGGTTTTTTTGTAATGTATACTTCTATAAAACATTTATTTAAATCAAGCTTTCTAATCTTAAGGTTATCTTACATACATGTATGACTATAATGTTTGCACCATTTCCTTATTCAGCCTTAGGAAGCATATTGATTGACCTTTTTTATGTAAGGCTGTTCATTTGATTTCTAAAAGAGCACCTTAAAGGGACCTTTAACTCCTGAGACAGAATTAAATTTATTAACAAATAGTATCATACATAGTAAAATGTTTAAATAAAACACTTTATTTGTATAACATTAAAATATATATTTTTCTGTCTTAATATTCACTCTACAGGGTGGCTCTTTAGTGTAAACTGAAAGAGATGTTATCTGTTAACCTTTTCATCCTGCTCCTCATTCACACCTGCAAAGGTAATCTCCACACAAATTTAATGCAATCTGAGTTCTTTTACATTAATAATGTCAGTATGATTGTGTCAGTGTTCCACTGAGCATTTATCCATAATTCCAAGGTGGGTGTTTGCTCCAGTCTTTATTGGTTGGGAGAACTCATACTCAACACAGTTCACTTAGTGTTTTAACAGTCTTTATAACCTGTGGAAGCTGTTTGGTGTACAAAAATTATGAATACAAGATAACAAGGCAAAAACTGTAGTTTGGTATTTTGAAACAACAACTGAATGAGTCTTTTTTATATTCTCATGGCAGTTTAGCATGACCACACTATGCCACATAACATACAGAGAATAGAGTCAGTACTGTTCACCTCTTAAAAAAAGAAATGAAACAGAAATACAAAAAAAAAAAAATGTATGGTGAACAAACTAGCTATAAAACACAGATGTTGACATCAGTACTAATTTAAGGCTTTTAAGCAATCTTCATTTGATCATGTTTGGTATAAAATTTTAAATAAGATGAATGTGTCAAAGCTCAGAACAGAATTATACAGTAATTTGAGATGGACAAAACATATTTCTCAGAAAGTTTAATTAATAAAAGAAATGGGTGGACAATGTCAACGTCCTAGGCAGGAACCTCTGTTGTTTGAGTCAGCAGGTTAGTGACCACGTCTTTCTGGATGTGGATGATCACAAACGAGTGAGTCAGTCACCTGTTCCGACCAGATGGCTGCCAACGTGGTGCAGCTGTTGCGGCAGAGTTCCATATGCAAGTGTTTTGTTAGCCGGAGAACCAACAGGAGATCTGAACAAAGCAGATGGATGTAGGGAGGATAATCCTGAGGGCGAAGACAAAGCCGATGTCGTAGACGTGGTTGGTTGTCAGAGCCAGGAAGTTAGAGATCGAGTGAGTAGCCGAAGGAGAATCCAAGACGGAATAAGGCAACTGTTCCAGATTCTGTTCACAGTGAAGCTTACAGGCTGGACAAGGGCAGGTAGACTCATTGGCCAGGAAATGATTCCGATCGGTACACAAGCAGGAAGAGATCTGGTAGGAGTCAAGACACAAATCGGGCAAACAGATCAGATGCGAACAGGCAAGCTCAGAGGTTGAGAGGCAGAACAGATCAGGCAGTCAGGACACAGGAACAGTAGAATAAGTCTCAGCACATGGCTCAAAATAATCTGGAACTGATGGATGGTCTGAAGACTAAATAGAGGCTAATGAAGGTGGATCAGATAAGCAGCTAATGAGAACTGGGCAGAGCTAAGCAGGTGTATGCAATGAGTGATAAGACCAGGCATCTGTGCCAAGATCATGACAGAATGATTTTAATGTCGTTATAGATTGTTAGAATAAAAAAAAGAAATTGGAAAACCTTAAATTTTAAAAACATTATTGAAAGTTTGAGCTTTTTGATTATGGAAATTTCTAATATTTCACTGTCATGATTGGGTGGCGGTTTTTGAGGACTCAAATCTAGAGACCATGAGGCAGAGGTGAGTCTTGCAGTTTTAATGAGGCAGAGATCAGGAACTAGGGGACATCAGGGAAGACACACATGAGGAGCCAGGAAAAAACGTGGAACCAGCACTAAAAAACTGCACAGGGAGAGTATGTATGGGAGACTGGACTAATGAGCTGACAAGTAACAGGTGTGGATGGAAGCGTTGAGAAGGAGGCCAAAGGGAAAGGAAACCAAACAAAGTGGCAAAAGAGAGTAAATCAAGAATCACAAAAGCACTCAAAAATATAACCAAAAGCAAATAGAATAACACAAAATGGAAATTAACCCAACTAGAAAACACAGAAGGACAAGAATAAAAAGTTACTGAAAAGTTAAAAAGAAACCTTAAACAGAACAAAAGTGCAGAGTTATGACATTCACAAAGTGTTCCTTTAAAAATTATCTGGAAATATTGAAGAATTTTAACATAGTTAAATACATAACTCTAGGTTTATTTATTTTTTTCAATCAGAGTTGAGTCCTTGAAGAAAAGTAAAGATTGATTTTTGCAAGAAATCAGCTAAAAACGTAATCATAAAAATATAAAGGGAAAGTCTAAACCACAATGTCCCTCCAAATATTTGAAACTTCTGTAAAATCAGCATGTGGGGTGGTTTTTGGCTTTTGCAAAAAAGGGCTAATGCGCAAAATGTGACATCGAAAATTTTTTCAAATCAGCCCTGACGTAGCAAACATACTCACATGACTGATCAATTGTTTCTGTTGTCTGTCTTCCCAGATGCTCCAATTATGTGCGCAAACATGGCTGGAGGCAATATCAACATTACTAGCTGACATGTTAACATCACACATTCATTACAACTTTCTTCTATTATTGTTCTGTGGTCAGTGCTAGATTGCAGCCTCTACTTTCAGTGCTAGATTGCAGCCTCTACTTCCTGTTTACTACAACAATGCCTGACAAAATGATATGCACAACAACGTAGGATGGCAATATGCTTTGCAGTGCTTGGTGAATTTGCTTCAAAACAAATTGAAACACAGCAAATTGGCATTTTGTTTGTTAAAAAACTTTTAAAAGTTTGTTTTAGATCACATTCATTTGAATGGAAACACGGCTACAGCCGAACAAGCCTATCAACAGGCCAACCCCGACAGAGTCAAAGCCAAAGCCCACACTCTAAACTGCATTATTTTTGGACTTTGCTGAAAAACAGATTGTAAAATAAGTAGTAATTGTTTATTAAAAGCATATACAACATAAAAAAAAATATATTATGAAAATTTGTTATTATTGGTACTAACTGTAAATATTAGGCATTGGCAAAGTGCTTCCAAAACAAGTGTTGTTTTTGGAATATTTTCCAACAGGCATCAATGATATAAATAAGGCCACTTTGGAAAATTTGCAACAGTCGATTACACAGTTCCTCATTTACTCTAAATATTAATAAATGGCAAATTCTTCTCTATATATTTTATTTGCAGGTCAGTCAAAGGACATGGATTCATCTAAGTCAGTTACTGCAATGGTTGGTGAGAACGTTATTTTGCCATGTCACCTGGAACCTCCAAAGGATGCTTCTCAGATGACAGTGGAGTGGGGCAGACCTGACCTGAAACCCAGATTTGTGTTTGTGAATCTTGATGGCCATGAATATTCAGCTGACCAAAATGAAGCCTACAAAGGAAGATCATCAATAATTCCTGACAATCTGAAAAATGGAGATATATCATTAAGACTTTCTGCTGTGAGACACTCTGACAATGGAAAATACAGATGCTACTTACCCAAATTGAAGAAAGAAAATTTTGTCAACCTTGTTGTTGGTAAGTAAGAAAATCTTAAAATCTTCAAAGAATGAATCTTGATTATTAGGTTAGATTAGATTAGATGAGCTTTATTGATCTCACAGCGGAGAAATTCACTCATCACATATTGGCATAGTAATTAAAGAAGAAGGTGCAAACAAGGAGGAAAAAAGGTGCATTAAGAAGAATAAACAATATAAAAAAAAAAAAAAAAACTGTTTTCTCACCCCTCGTGGGGTGGTATGTGTCATCCTCAAGCTCGGGTCCTCTACCAGAGGCCTGGGAGTTTGAGGGTTCTGCGCAGTATCTTAGCTGTTCCTAGGACTGCGCTCTTCTGGACAGAGACTTCTGATGTTTTACCTGGGATCTGCTGTAGCCACTCTCCCAGTTTGGGGGTCACAGCCCCCAGTGCTCCAATTACCACTGGCACCACTGCTGCTCTTACTTTCCACATCTTTTCTAGCTCCTCTTTGAGCCCTTGGTATTTCTCAAGCTTCTCGTGTTCTTTCTTCTTGATGTTGCTGTCGCTTGGGATTGCCACATCTATCACTACTGCCTTCTTCTGCTGTTTGTCGATCAACGCGATGTCTGGTTGGTTAGCCATCACCTGTTTGTCAGTCTGGATCTTGAAGTCCCATAGGATCTTAGCTCGGTCATTCTCAACTACCTTAGGAGGTGTCTTCCATTTTGACCTTGGGACTTCCAGCCCATACTCATGGCAGATGTTCCTGTACACTATGACAGCTACCTGGTTGTGGCGTTCCATGTATGCACTTCCTGCCTGCATTTTACACCCTGCTGTTATGTGCTGTATTGTTTCAGAGGCATCTTTGCACAGTCTGCATCGGGGGTCCTGCCTGGTGTGGTAGACCCTGGCCTCTATTGATCTTGTACTGAATGCCTGTTCTTGTGCTGCCATAATTAGTGCCTCTGTGCTGTCCTTCAGTCCAGCCTTTTCCAGCCACTGGTAGGATTTTTTGATATCAGCCACTTCTTCTATTTGTCTGTGGTATATGCCGTGCAGTGGCTTGTCCCTCCATGAGGGTTCTCCTTCCTCTTTCTTTTCCTTGCTTTCGGTTTTCTCCTGCCTGAGGTATTCACCAAGCCATTTGTCTTTGGGGGCCATCTTTCTGATGTACTCCTGGGTCTTAGTTGTTTCATCCTGGACAGTGGTCTTGACACTCACTAGCCCTCGGCCTCCCTCGCTACGCTTGGTATACAGTCTCAGGGTGCTGGATTTGGGGTGGAACCCTCCATGCATTGTGAGGAGCTTTCTTGTCTTGATGTCAGTGGCCTCTATCTCCTCCTTTGGCCAGTTTATTATACCAGCGGGGTATCTGATGACTGGTAGGGCATATGTGTTGATGGCTTGGATCTTGTTTTTCCCATTCAGCTGACTTTTCAGGACCTGCCTTACTCTTTGTAGGTATTTAGCTGTGGCAGTCTTTCTTGCCATCTCCTCGTGGTTTCCGTTAGCCTGTGGCACCCCAAGGTATTTGTAGCTGTCCTGCACATCTGTAATGTGGCCTTCTGGTAGTTCATCCCCCTCGGTTCTGATCATCTTCCCTCTCTTTGAGACCATGCGACCGCACTTGTCCAGTCCGAATGACATCCCAATGTCGTTGCTGTAGATCCTGGTAGTGTGGATCAGTGAGTCGATGTCTCGCTCACTCCTGGCATACAGCTTGATGTCATCCATGTAGAGGAGGTGACTGATGATTGTTCCGCTTCGGAATTGGTATCCGTAGCCAGTCTTTGTGATGATCTGGCTGAGGGGGTTCAGGCCTATGCAGAACAGCAGCGGGGATAGTGCATCACCCTGGTATATGCCGCACTTGATGGTGACTTGTGCTATTGGCTTTGCATTGGCTTCCAGACTTGTTTTCCACAGCTTCATTGAGTTATTGATGAAGGCTATTAGAGTCCTGTTGATCTTGTACATTTCCAAGCATTCCAGTATCCATGTATGTGGCATTGAGTCATAGGCTTTCTTATAGTCAATCCAGGCAGTGCACAGATTTGTCTGTCTGGTCTTACAGTCTCGAGTGACTGCTCTATCCACTAGTAGCTGGTGCTTGGCTCCTCTGGTGTTACTGCCTATTCCCTTCTGGGAAGGGTGCATGTATTGAGCCATGTGCCTATTCATCTTAGCCGCTATGATGCCTGACAGGAGCTTCCATGTTGTACATAGGCAAGTTATTGGCCGGTAGTTGGATGGGGTTGTTCCCTTCTGGGGATCCTTCATGATCAGGATTGTCCGTCCTTGGGTTAACCAGCAGTTGGTTCATTTGTGCTGCGAGGCGTGCATGAATTGCAGTTAGTTTTTTCAGCCAGTAGTTGTGGATCATGTCAGGGCCTGGTGCTGTCCAGCTCTTCATACCTGCCGCTCTTTCTTGGACATCTGCCTTTGTAACGGTTACTGGTTCTTGTTCTGGGAGATTGCTGTGATCTGTTCTAAGATCTTCTAGCCACTGAGCATTGGTGTTTTGGGATGCCTTCTTCTCCCATATGTTTCTCCAGTACTGTTCAGTTTCAGCCCTGGGTGGATCTGATCTTGAATTACCCTGCCACTGTGAGTACACTTTGGATGGGTTGGTGGAGAACACCTGGTTTATTCTCCTGGCTTCTGCTTCTCCCTTGTATCTCTTTAGGCGGGTGGCCAGGGCAGCGAGTCTTTGTTTGGCAGTTTCTAGAGCCTCGGGAATCGACAGCTTAGGTAACCTATTCCCTACACCTTTCTGCAGGTCTGAGAGCTGAGGGCTGAGGCCACCACAGAGTCATAAAAGGTTTTAAGTAGGGGCGTGCTGACTCCAAAGGCCCTCAGCCTCCTCAGGAGGTGGAGGTGGCTCTGGCCCTTTTTATACAGGGCGTCAGTGTTATAAGTCCAGTCCAGTTTATTATTGACGTGAACACCCAGGTATTTGAAACTCTCCACAGTTTCTATGTCCTGTCCCTGGATGTTCACGGGGGGGTGGGATGGTGGTCTTCTCCTGAAGTCGATCACCATATGCTTGGTCTTACTGGTGTTCAGAGACAGATGGTTTCTCTCACACCAGTCCACAAAGTCCATGATGACCGACCTGTATTCCAGCTCGTTCCCCTCAGACACACAGCCAACAATGGCAGAGTCATCGGAGAACTTCTGGAGGTGGCAGCTGTCCGTATTGTAGGTGAAGTCCAAGGTGTAGAGGGTTAAGAGAAATGGAGACAGGATGGTGCCCTGGGGGGCCCCGGTGCTGCAGAGTGCCGCCTCTGACTGGCAGCCATGCACCCGCACGTACTGAGGACAGTCAGTGAGGTAGTTGATGGTCCAGTCAGCTATATGCTTCTCCACCCCAGCATCCTCCAGCTTCCCTCTCAGCAGCACCGGTCTGATGGTGTTGAAAGCGCTGGAGAAGTCAAAGAACATGACTCTCACAGTGCTCCCAATGGTCTCCAGGTTGATTAGCGCCCGCTGCAGCAGGTAGATGATGGCATCATCTACTCTGATGTTGGGCCGGTAGGCGAACTGCAGCGGGTCCAGGGTGGGGCTCACCACGGTGCAAAGGTGGGCGAGGACGAGGCGCTCCATGGTCTCCATCAGGTGAGATGTCAGGGTGACTGGTCTGAAGTGGGCCGGTTCCCTGGTGTGTGGCATTTTGGGAACCGGAACCACACAGGAGGTCTTCCACAGGGTAGGGACCACCCCCAGGCTGAGGCTCAGGTTGTACATGTAGCTGATGACCTGACAGAGCTCATCTGCACAGGTCCTCAGCAGCCTGAGGGGGAGGCCGTCTGGTCCTGAGGCCTTCCCCAGTTTCAGCCTCATCAGCTGCCCTCTCACCTGCATTGGTGTTACTGTGAGGGGGGAGGAAGGCACGACTGAAGGTGTGGATGGGTCAGGGGTTGGTGGGAGTGGCGGGGGTGGGGGGAAAAGGTCTCTGGGGGGCTGGTGGTTGGAGGTGTGTGGAGAGTTGAGGGCAGGGAGGGGACCAGTGTGAGGGGAGTCAAACCGCGTGAAGAAGCGGTTTAACTCATCTGCAAACTTGGTGTTACTGTCTGCAGCCCTGCTGGTCCTCTGCCCAAAGCTGGAGATGTTCTTCAGACCTCTCCGCACATCTCTGGCGTTGTTCTGCAACAGCTGCTCCTCCATCTCCTTCCCATAGTCCTTCTTTGCCGACCTGATCCTCCACTGGAGCTTCCGCTGAGCTCTACGCTGCTCCTCTCTATCCCCTGAGTAGAAAGCCTGTTTCTTCCGATTCAGGAGGACTTTCAGCTCGGGGGTCAGCCAAGGAGGGTTGTTTGGAAAACATAGTAGCTGTTGTGTAGGCACAATATTCTCCACACAGAAGGTCATATAGTCAATGATGCATTCAGTCAGGCTGTTGATGTCCTCACCAATTAGAGCTTTGGTACATGTTCCAGTCTGTGGTTCTGAAACAATCCGTCAGCTCCTCAGTAGCGTTGTTCGACCAAACTTTCACTGACTTCTTCTGTGCTATTGTCCTTCTCACCAGTGGAATGTAATGGGGGCGGGGGCAGGTAGACAAGGTTGTGACCTGAACGTCCCAGCGGGGGGAGGGGGACGGAGGTGTATGCATCCTTAACATTTGCATAAAAATGTCCAGCGTTTTATTGTTCCTGGTTGCGCATGTGACGTATTGTGTGAGCGTGGGGAGAGTGGAGTGGAGGGGGGCATGGTTGAAATCTCCTGTGGTGAGGAGAGCGCGGGGTGTTCGATCTGTAGTTTGTTCTCAACACTGTTGATCTGCTCACACGCAGCGGTGGCATCAGCGGAGGGAGGGATGTAAATGCACAGTACGATCACGTGACCAAACCTCCGCGGCAGATAATACAGTCTTAAACTCACTGCGAGTAATTCCTAATCTGAGCTGCATATCTGCTGCTTCACGTGAACATGAGCCGAGTTGCACCATCTGTCATTCATAAACACCGCCAGCCCCCCTCCTCTCTTTTTCCACTCTCCGCCAAAGTTCTGTCCGCACAGATAAGTTTAAAGCCGTCCAGGGAAACCACTGAGTCCGGGACAGACCCATCTAGCCACATCTCCGTGAAGCACATTAAACTAGCTTCTCTGTACCTCCTCTGGAAACGCGCTTGCGCTGCAAGCTCCTCTGTCTTGTTGCGGAGAGATCTTTTGTTTCCCATGACAACCTATGGTAGATAACTCTTCCTCCGCTTCGTCCTTCCACCTCTGCAGACTCTCCGTCTCCTCCGTATTTCTGCAGGGATGTCTGGTTTCTCCGTGTGGTGGGGAGCAGGGCAGCGGTGTGTAGGGTCCCGTAGTGTGAGAAGCTGGTCCCGCGTGTAAACAATAGGCCGTTTGGAGTCGCGGACAAAGGGGTCTCCCCTTGCAGCATCAAAAAGTGCCGAAATAAGCGTCAGCCGGGTTGAATACACCAGATACTATATAGAATTAGAAACTCAGACTAGTGACTTAGAAAGACTGGCCACAATTATGAGCTAAAATCACTAAACTGGTTTTGAGTTCACTTCGGTCCCGGAGAAAGGAGTACAATCTATACTGGAGACTTGTCCACAGCTTGTGGCAGGAGCCATTCCCCAGAGTTGAGAGAGATGAGTTGAGCTGACACCAACCAATGCTTAGAAGCAGCAGTATCTGTGAGGGGTAATCCAAAGCCAGTGTCAAAGCAGGACCTAGTTAACAGACCTGGAGAAAAGAGAGCCGAGGAGGTATCATATGAGAATCCAAACAGAGGTCAAAACACTGTTTTCACGAGTCAGTCCAGAACAGATAAGAGTAACAGAGAAAACAAGGCCAAACCAACAACAAGTCCAAAAAGGCAGAAACAGGTCAGGATCAGAGAATCAGAACAATATACAAATGCTAGAGTTGCTCTCACCAACAGCTCAAATAATCTTGCGCCGTTGGCAGGCAAACAGGCAGCATAAAAAGCAGCAGGAACCACGTGGACAAGATTAATGGTAATGAACAGCCAGGCCAATTAAAAAGGTGAAAAGATTAAATGATTAGGCCAACCATCAGCGCCAAGACTATGACAGATAGAGCCAGGTTTTTGCTGTAATTTGAGTATTTCATGCAGGAGAAATCAGTCACATGACAACCAGATGCTCTGCTCGAAAAATAAATGTTTCATACATACTCAACATATTTCATACATTTTGTTAGGATAATTATTATTAATGATGTGTGAGTTTATTGTACCTTGGTATTGGCTGCCTACTGCATGTCAGAACTGATGTTTTCCACAATAGTTAATCTAATTAAGACAGTTCCTCTGTCTGGATTCTTTACGTGGGAAAAATTTGGAAATGGAATGAGGGCATTGTCCTTCAGCTAAGAACAAAGTTTAATATTTTGATAAGGCTAGAGCCATGGATGTCTACTGCTAATGTATATGATGTAAAATGTGATGATGTGGCATACTGGAGATGTATAAAATGCATTTTTAACTGTTAATCTTGGCCACTTCCTGAGAGGTGAGCAGCTGCCATTCTGTAAACTCTAAGCAATTTCTCTGATCTGATTAAGATTTCAATTTCTATCAGAATCTGTTGTCATGTCTCCTAGTTATTTAATACATATAAGTTATGAAGTGTTTTTTTAAAGAGTTTGTCCTGAGTGATCTCTTTTAAGGTAAAGAACTGGAGAGATAGAGCATCAAGGTGCATACACAGAGCCCATCTCTAACAATTTAAATTTCACCAAAGGGTAAAATTCTATAATGGTTTTTTGTGAAACCTAGGCTATGGATGCCATCACTAAAGGTGTGTCAAGTTATACTGTCTGGTTTTAATGTTACAACTATTATGACTAAAATGAATGACAATGGAGAAAGATTATTGTTCCATGAAACAATTGCCCAGCGTTTGGCAAACTTCAACACTCAAAATGCCACTTTTCGCTGAAAGGAAAATATAGGAAGCTGCATTCTTTGTGACATCAAAAATGGCAGTGTATATATATATTTTTGTTTTTGCAATGCACCTTTATGCTTTGTATAAGTAGCTGTGCTGTATTGAAATTCATGAATAGCAGAAAAATTTAAATGTGTTTGAGTAAGGCAGAGGGAATAACAAGGATGTTGAGCACATTGTAGAGACTCTTGAAAAGGTGGAGGAAAGACATCTTTTAATGCAGACCGGGTACCTTCAGTTGCATCGCTGCTCCCCTCAGGACAGCGACTCACCTGAGGGCTTTAACTGATGCTGCATAATGCCCATGAAAATATGTTTGTGCATGAAATGATGCACAAGCCTTATTTCATGAAATTACGGTTGTTCATCATTTCACAGGCATTACGCTGCAGAGCGTTATGCATAAGTTAGGCTGTCATTGGACATTAGTTCTGGCCCTAAGTTTTGTATTTGTAGAATAGAAAAGAAAAATCACAAGTAAAAATATTTTTTGCCCCTGTTCAAATTTTAAGTACAAGTACACAAATTTTGTTCCGTAAGTTGCACATCGAAAATGGTCCAGAACTATTTTTGCAAAGCTATTTGTGCATTGTAACTTTGGTCTTTAGTAATTGTAGATGTTTTTTTTTTTTATTAATTACTTTTTTTAATTAATTAGTATATTAGGAGAACAGAACAAAGAATGGGCTAATGAGCTGAATATGGAAGCATCTAGAAGGAAGCCAAGAGGAATAAAAAAACACAAGCGGGCAACAGAGAGTAACTCAAATATAAACACTGCTAGAAAAACAACTACAAATACAGAGAATACAAAGAAACTAAGAATATACTTAAACAGAGGGCAGAAACTTGACAGTTACTACTAGTCATAATTACGATTTCAGATATTAAAAATGAATATAACATTTTAGAAATCCAGAAATCAAATTCTTGACATCAAAAATATATGGTAGAGAAATTTGAGTCTTTCAGAGTATGTCTAACTAACGTTAAACCAAGTTGGTGGGATGCCTCTGTTTAGATTAAATTTGCTGTCATAATAATCTTCCAAAATAGATCCTAAATGAAACCTTGGGCTGTATAATGTCACAAGTTAACTGATACATTGCTTTGAAGGATAGTAATGACATTGCATTTAGATAATTCAGAAGTTTTGAATAGATAACTTTGTGTTTAATCTTTCAAAATAAATTTTAACTTCTGAACATCAGATACTGACAGCTAATATTACTTAAAGCTGTTTTGCTATTTACAATGGATCTGTAGTTCAATCACTGCTTGAACAGCTATCTACCAGCTGATGATCACAATATGACTCCTTCTCTTGCCTGATTTTCAGGTTCTGCCTCCTCACCTGATATCAGTTTAGCAGGACTAGATGAAAGCAACAATGGAGTGATGTTAGACTGCAGCTCTGCAGGCTGGTTTCCTGAACCTGAGGTTTTATGGATGCATGAAGAAGAAATCATCATATCTGCTGGACCTACAGAGAAAATCGAGGGTCCTGATGGTCTTTACACTATCAGCAGCAGAGTGACTGTGGAGAAGAGACACAATAACAACATTACCTGCAGAGTCCAACAGAGAGACATCAACCAGACCAGAGAGACAAGCATTTATGTTCAAGGTGAAACATTTAACATACGTTGATAATTAAATAGATCAAATATTATTTATTACATAAAACTTTTAATCTCTGTATTTCAGATGGTTTCTTTGTCCCTCGGTCAAACTGCAGCATATCTGTCACTTTTAGTGTGATTCTGGGCCTCATACTTCTATTAGGAGTTGCTGCTTTCATCTGGAAAAGGCGACAAACTGAAACCTGTGAGTTATTTTTTTATATTCAATTAAGCTCCATAGTTTAAGCTCTATTAAAATATTTCTTGTTTAATACTGCCTTAAAATGAATCCGTTTTTTTAAGGTACTTTTTGCAAATCAGAGGGTAACTTAAGCAAAACCTTATTTTGATTTGATTTCTTGTTTCTGCAGCAATGAAAAAGCGAAATGATGAAGTGAATGAAAAGAAACAGCAGCTCAGGAGAGAAGAAGAAGAGTATGTGGCTAAGAAAAAGTCAGACCTTGAAGTGCAGTTAAGAAAGAGAAACCAGGATCAGAGAATCATTGATCAGCAAATTGAAGCATTAATGAAGATGTCAGAGGAACTGAAGGAGCAGAAAAAACAACTGACTGATCAGAGACAGGAGGCAGTGAAAATAGTTGAGGAGAATGACAGAAAGCTTAAGGCTATCGATGATGAAGTAACAAACCAGAGTGAGAACAAGATGGAAAAGAAAGCACAAGGTTACTTAAAACTGAAAGAGATCATAACAGAGAGCAATGAGAGACTGAATGAGAGAAAGAAAGATCATCAACATGTGGAACTAATAACACAAAAACTGATGGAGAAAACAAGCCAGGAGGTTAAAAAACTGAAGGAGATAAAACAGGAAATAGAGAACCATGTAGTGGAAATAGAAAAACAACTTAAAGAAATGGTGACTTGTGATTTCACTGCTGAGACAGAAATGAATTATCTTGGATGTTTTTTCACATCATGTGAGTAAATAAACTTGGTAGCTAGTTTTTAGTAAATCTGCTTATTTTTATATATGTGGATTTTTTTGATAAAGAAGTATAAAATTTAGAAATTTTCTGAGGTCGAGCCATTTAAATTATTTACATGATGGTCCAGAAACTTCCGATACAGATATAGGAACAACGCCTGTAAATCAATGGCTAAAGATTGTGATGCATTTTTTTATCGGTGCCCTAAACTTCTCTGTCTCTAGTTAAAGACCACAGAGTAAAACCTGACCTAATGTACTTCTATCAGGGGACCTGTTGTTTTGGAGTGACTTCTAATATATCCTCCAATACACTGAGATCTAGCTACTTTAATATTCTGACTGGAAAACAAATCAAAATTATATCAATCAATTTGTAAGGTAGGGAATTATGGTGATAGCAACCATTCTATTTGTAGGATTATTTTTTCCTTTGCAAATTTAATGCACATTTTAGTTTTGACTTACTGTGTTAGAAATGTAGGGGAAAAAAAATATTAGTACAAAATTTACTTATGTGGTTTAATTTACTTTATAACAAAAAGATCAATTAAAATAGTATAGGCTATATATAAACTCTTCCTTACACATTGTGGGAAGTCTCTATTTTTCCTCCAAGTTGGGTCCTCCTGCCTGGGAGCCCAAGGGTTATGCGCAATTTCTTTGCTCCCCCTAGAACTACACTTTTCTGTATTGAGATACAGTATGTAAGATGTATTTCCGGGGATCTGTTGTAACAGCTCCTAAAATTTAGGGGTCACTGCCCCAATTGCCCTAACAACCAACGGCACCACTGATGCCTTGACCTTCCAAGTCTTCTCAAGCTCTTCTCTGAGACCCTGGTATTTGTCTAGTTTCTCATGTTCCTTTTTCCTGATGATTCAGTCACTTGATATTGCTATGTCAGCCACAACGGCTTTTCTTTGCTGTTTTTTCAAATTTTTTATTATATTTGGCCCACTGTTGTTGAAATGCCTTATCATATTTTACATCTGTAGTTCGTGTAGGTTTACTTTATTCAGGTGCCACAGTTGATCTCAGTCAATCATGGGTTTGTGCTGTTAGTGGGTTTTTTTTGTGCCTCTGATGGGAAACAGTAATTATTCAGAAACATGTTATTTTAGGTTTTCCTCACAGCATTTCCTTGTTGTTCTTCACATTGTCTTACATATCCTCTTTTCTTGTGGTTTAGTTTTTAATATAAATAAGACAAAAATTAATCTTAGAGGTGAAAGTGATAAAAAAGTTGCTTCTGCTGGAGCAGCTTCTGTACATTTCTGTTCTTTAATTACACCTGACTTGCACTGTTGTCAAAATAAAAATTTATGAGCAAAATTTGTGGAAGCAATGTGGTTTGGTTTGTTGGTTTTATATCAACAAGATAAAACGAATCCCCTTCGTGCTTTTCAGACTTATATGAAAAAAGTTTAAAAACATTAAATGGTAAAATTTGTTTTGTAGCCCACCTATACCCCATTGAAGTAGGTAAGGGCCCCTGAGTTCCTAAAAAAAAACCCTTAAACTCTATTTACTCTTTATATTTTGACTTGAGTTTGACTCACCTCCGAGGACAGTAAAAACTTTAAACACAACCTAAGGAAATCAGAATCAGGGTTATAATCCAGCCTTAAATCTGCTTATTTCGTATCCAAAAATTTGAAATAACCAAACAACTGACAACAGTTTATGAACTTTGAACTTATATTGAGCAAAACAAACAAACAAAACAATTGAGATGTTTTAAAAAAAAAAAACTAAAATTAAAATACATTTCTCTCTGTAATAAAGTTTTAGTTTCAATTGTCCAACTTTAACTAAAATATGTGGGCCCACACTTCCTAACTCACACCTAAGCCGGCATAAAGTTCAAAATAAACCAAAATTTCCCCCTGTTGCAGGCCTGATATGATGTGGAACAGTTGGAGTGTGGTACCTCTCCTCTAAGTTTGGAACCGTCTGGTAATGAACCTGTCCTTTGGTCCCGGCTGATAAAGGAAGATGGATGCAGGATGTTGTTCACTCGTCACCAGTCTCTTGGTCCCCAGCAACACAGCATGCAGCAGAAAAGTCCAGTGAAGATGCAGTCCTCTGAATCAGATCCATAGAAAATCAGTATTGCTCACCTCACTGCACAGTGCTCGACTCTCCCAGCTTCCATGCCGGAAACTTTACTAGAGTCTCTGTTAGCTGAGCTAAATCCCAGTACTAAAAAATGCATTCACTTTGCTGGTGAATGCTAATGCATTAGCGAGCACTGAAACAATACTCACAGCTACTATACAGCAAATTTCGGGTTGAAACAATACTAGTAGTTGCAGACAACGATGTAGAGCTGATATTTTTAAATGACTGTCGAGTTGAAAGTCCACAAACATCAACAAAACTCAGTTTTTAGCAAACTTCGGCACGTTTTTCCTCCGTGGTCAAGCTACAACACTCTTCTGCAACTTCCTGTCCCTCTGTTGCACCTCCCACTTCCTGTATATGGACCAATGACAAACCAGTAAAATCCTTCTGCTCTACACTACTTCTTCTTCTTCCTCTTGTCGAGTTTTATGGCGGTTGGCAACAAACTGTTAGTAGCATTACCGCCACTTACTGGTATGGAGTGTGGTTCGTGATGGTTTAAAGGAATAGTACACCCAAAACATGATTAGCCTTCATTTTCTACTCACCCCCATGCTGAACAACACTCTGGAGTACTTTTTTGATATCTTAAATGCATCTGGAGATCTGGGAGGCTTCTTGCTGTCTGCTGACATTCAAATAATGGAGGTGCCCAGCACCCGAGGCAGAAAGGTCCATAAAGGTCCACAAAAAACGTGTCACTATTCCTCCATACTGCTCGTCCAATGTATTCCAAGACTCCTGAGTGGGTAGCATCCAGAATTTACTCGAAACGAAGTCATTTAGAATGTTTTTAGAGCATAAACAGTAGTGTATAGGATTTCCTGAAAGCGAGCACATGCACGCTCACGACGCTACGGAAGCCGGCAGACCAAACCAGATGAAAGTGCGCATTCAGCGTCTGCTCTGCCAATAATGCAAGCGTAGAAGAAGAAATGTGCTGTTTACCTGTGCAAAGAAAGAAACAACGAAAGAAAAATGTCTGAGGACTTCAGTGTTGTGGAAGAGCATGAGTTCTTTGCCGAGCTGAATGCGCTGGTTTGGTCTGCCGGCTTCCGTAGCGTCGTGAGCGCGCATGTGCTTTCAGGAAATCCTATACACTACTGTTTATGCTCTAAAAACATTCTAAATGACTTCGTTTCGAGTAAATTCTGGATGCTACCCACTCAGGAGTCTTGGAATACATTGGACGAGCAGTATGGAGGAATTTGACACTTTTTTGTGGACTTTATGG